TTTTCTTTTTCTACATTCTCTTCCTAAGTTACCTTAGACTGTCACACACTTTAAAAGTCTTCTGTTGTTGACTCTCCCTAATCTTCTTCACACAAGCCATTCTCAAGTCTTAACCTCATTACCTCTTAATTATATTTACTCCTCTCCATCTTCTCTTCAGCCACTTCCCTAGTCCAGATCACCACCATCTGCTATACTCAACTTCAGCAGTCTCTGTACAGATTGGACTTTCCAAAGAAGGCAGCAACAATAGTTCCCATGCCATGTGCTCTTCTGGAATCTTGCCATTCTTCCATCAAGAGGTGGAGTCAAATTCCCCTCCTCTTGAATCTGGGAAGACCTTTGTGATTGTCTTAACCAATAGAGTACAACAGAAATGATGTTGATATGACTTCTCAGCTTAGATCATAAAAACAGTATGTCCTTTCACTTTGCTTTCTTGAACCCTCGAACTTGCAACCCAACCACCATGCTGTGGGCAAGCCCAGCAGCTCATGGAGAGGACTAGAAACCACTCCATCTGACATTATGTGGAACAGAGATGGTCTGTCCCCACTGAGCCCTGCCCCAAGGCAAACAGTGAGAAATATAATTGACTGTCATTGTTTTAAGCCTCTAAGTGGGGTTGTATTTTGCACAGTAATATATAATCTGAATACTTCCCTAAATGATCTCTTTGCTTCCAATCAATCCATTCCCCCTCACATTGTCCACATTTTGTTTAGTGGCCATAAGGATCTTTTAAAAATATAAATCAGCACTGGCCAGTGTGGCTTAGTTGGTTGAGCGTCATCCTGTGCATTGAGGGGTCGCTGGTTTGATTCCCAGTTAGGACCCAGGCCCAGGTTGCAGGTTGGGGTGAGTGCTCAGTTAACAGTTTGCAGTGGTTCTCAACCTTCTGGCCCTTTAAATACAGTTCCTCATGTTGTGACCCAACCATAAAATTATTTTCGTTGCTACTTCATAACTGTAATGTTGCTACTGTGATGAATCTTAATGTAAATATCTGATATGCAGGATGGTCTTAGGCGACCCCTGTGAAAGGGTCATTTGACCGCCAAAGGGGTCGAGACCCAGAGGTTGAGAACCGCTGGTTTAGAGGATTAGCTAATCTGAACAAGTCTCTTGGTAAAAAAACAAACAACAAAAAACCCAAAAAATCTAAAAGTGGTGGGTAAAATCTAAAAACATACATTACTGAGCTGCTAAGCATGAAAGGGATATGGCAAAATGTATTTTTTTAAAATCCGCACCTGAGGATATGTTTATTGATTTTAGAGGGAGGGAGGGAAGGAGGGAGGGAGGAAGGGAAGTAAGAAAGGAGGGAGGGAGAGAGACATCAATGTGAGAGAAACATTGATCATTGGTTGGTTTCCTCCTACATGTGTCCTGACCGGGGATCGAACCTGCAACCTAGGTATGTGTCCTGACAGGGAATCAAACACGCAACTTTTTGGTGCACGGGACAACACTCTAACCAACTGAGTCACCCAGCTTGGGTGCAAAATTTATTTTGATTCACAAGTATTTCTGCAACATCTAAATCATACAACTTATAATATGTAAATAAAGGAGATTATAAATTTGTTAAGGCTTGCTACATGTAAATCTCAGTCATGACTGGACAAGAGTGATTGTATCATCCATTTTTTTTTTAAAATATATTTTTATTGATTTTCGGAGAGGAAGGAAGAGGGATAGAGAGTTAGAAACATCGGTGAGAGAGAAACATCGATCAGCTGCCTCCTGCACACCCCGCACTGGGTATGTGCCCGCAACCAAGGTACATGCCCTTGACGGGAATCGAACCTGGGACCCTTCAGTCCGCAGGCCGACGCTCTATCCACTGAGCCAAACGGGTTACGGCTGTATCATCCATTTTAGGTTTCTATCATATTTGGGAACATGAGTCAAGTATGACAGTGGAATCTTTGGTTCTGAAAATGTTAAACCTTTCTTTAATTGTAGTAAAACTAGAACTATATAAATACACAGTTTTATTGAGATATAGTGGGGAGATGGGTGATAAGTAAATATATGAAGCATGAAGTACAAAGTGTTATGAGTCCTGTGAAGGAAATAAATAGTATAGTTATGGGAGAATTATTAAAATTTCTCTCAACCTTGATTTGAACAGGCCTTTTAAGGAGACAGCACTGAGACAGCAAAATCAAGAAGTATGAGTTCCCTCTCCCTGCCTTGGCTTGGGTGGTGGGGAGTAGCTTCTTAATTGAAATGGGCTGCCTTGTGGAGAGGTGAGCTCCTTGTCACTGGAGGCATCCAAGCTCAGGCTAGAGGGAAAGCTCTTGGAGATGCTATAAAGGGCCTTCTTGCTTGGGGTAAGGGAATTAGACTTGGTGACATTTGGTGGGTCCCCTCTTAAACACCAATATTTTATGGTACTAGCATTGCTTTACTCTAAATTTTACAAGTGTACGACTTGAATTCTCTGACATTCTGAGAGTCTTATTTTAACTAGGATCTTGAGTAGCCCAGTAGAAGGGGCGAAAGCTAAGAAATCAGAAATAATCTGTTTCCTATTCGGGTTCTGTCATTTATTGCCTATATGACCTTGGACAAGTCCCTTTTTCTCTCTAACCTTGGTTTTCTCATATGCAAAATGGAGATTTTAGTGCCTGCCTTACAAGGCTGCAGTGAAGGTTAAAAGGTGACATATTAGGGAAGCACCTGGTTTAGTTTCCATCCCACAGGACACCATGGAGTCTTAGACTTTGGAAGCCTCCCAGCCTCCACTAAGATCCAAACCTCGCCTGGGGTGCAGTATGGTGTCACAGTGATCTCTGGTGCCAGATTGCTTGGGCTTATTACATCATGTATCTGAGCCCCAGTTTCCTCATCTGCTTAGTGGAGATAATAACAGGACCTACTTCCAAGTTTTGTTTTTTTTTTAAATATATTTTTTATTGATTTCAGAGAGGAAGGGAGAGAGAGAAATAGAAACATCAATGATGAGAGAGAATCATTGATCGGCTGCCTCCTGCCCCCATTAGGGATTGAGCCCGCAACCTGGGCATGTGCCCTGATCTCCTGGTTTGTAGGTGGACATTCAATCACTGAGCCACATCAGCTGGGCCCTAGGACTGTCTTGAAGGTTAATTGAGATGATCCAAGCAGTTAGTCCTATTAACTTTCATTATTGCTGCCATCTTAGGGTCTAGGAGGCCAGGAGTGTAAAGAATCTCTGCTCCCTTCCTTGGAGCTTGTGCATAGAGGCCTCTCTGTCTGACCAGAGTCCTCTCCTGGCCTCCTGGCCCAAAGGCTTGAACCTGCAGGGCCTTCAGTGGGGAATTTGAAAGTGGTGAGCTGGAAAGTTCCCCTCCCTCCTTCCTTTTCCTTTCTCCACTCTTGTCCCTTTGTAGTGAACTGGTTTCCTCTGGAAGCTCTGCCCTGAGGTTGGTGGGAAGCCAGGCGTGTGTGTGTGTGTGTGTGTGTGTGTGTGTGTGTGTGTGTGTGTGTGTGTGTCTGGGAGGACAATTTCTGAGCCACAGAGGAGAGGCATCAGCTGACCAGAGTGGAGGGAGAAGAAGAGCATTTCTCCAGCTACAGTGTTCCTGTGGGTGGGCTGAGAGGGACACAGCTGATTGGCACTGCCCATATCATGTGATCTTGCACATACACACATACACATATACACATACACACACTCATATCACTGTTTTCTTTGACTCTACATCCTTCTTCTCTGCTAGCCTCCTTTTATTCTGCACACATCACTCCTCTCATTCCTCTCTTCACATTATAACCACAGAAAATAGTCCCCTAGGGCAGAAACTCTGTATTAGGGCTCTTTCTCACCAAGTTTGGCTCATTAAGTCTTTTTTAAGCAGGGCAGTACGTGGGGGGACTTTTAAGGATCTGGCTCCAGGCTTTGGTCCTGGGAAAGAAAGCTAACCTCCCCCTGGTCCCTTGTCTCCTGCCTGATCCCTCCTCCCTTCCGAAGTTCCAAAAACCAAGTAGATTGTAATTCTCATTTATCACAAGTGCTCACCCCCATATTTCTTAGGCTGCTCTACAATCTTTAAGCACCATCATACTTTTAAAATATCAATGCATAAGTAATGCTATATTTCCTTCCTACATGCTTCCATCCTTCTCTCTCTCTTCCATATACTTGTTAAATATCATGTGTATGCCAGACCCTGGGTTCATTTTATTTTTAAAATATATTTTTATTGATTTCAGAGAGGAAGGGAGAGGGAGAGAGATATATAAACATCAATGATGAGAGAGAGAATCATTGATCAGCTGCCTCCTGCACGCTCCACACTGGGGATTGAGCCTGCATATGCCCTGACCAGGAATCGAACCATAACCTCCTGGTTCATAGGTCGATGCTCAACCATTGAGCCACACTGGCTGGGCCCTGGGTTCATTTTATTTTTTACTTGTATCTCTCCTATTTTGACACTTATAACTATAAAACTATTTGATTGATGCTTGTGTTCCAAGATAATTACACTTCATATTTTTTCAAATATATTTTTATTGATTTCAGAGAGGAAGGGAGAGGGAGAGAGAGATAGAAACATCAATGATGACAGAGAATCATCAATCAGTCACCTCCCTCATGCTCCCCCACCCCCCACCTGGGATCAAGCCTGCAACCTGGGCAGGTGTGCAGATGTGGTGAGATTTTTCTGATAACCATTACGCTTCACTTCATATTTGGCAACTGTCAAGCAGAGTGGGTCAGTCTCCAGGTACTGGTGTCAGAGAGGCATGAGTTTGAATCCCAGCTTTGCTCCCACTCACAAATGTGTGACCTGGGCCAATTAGAGCTTCTCAGTCCAGATTTTTCCTTTTGTATGTTGCGGGTATTCAGAGCTACTCTGTGAGGCTACTGTAAAGATGAGATTACACATGAAAACTATTGACTTAGGCCTGGCCAGTAGTGAGCATTCAATAAATGGAAGTGATATTGATTCTATAGGGATTTATAGTTTTCTTTTTTTAAAATTTATATTGAATCTCACTCGCAGGCCATTGCTCTGTGCCGCTGCTCTTCCGTGCCCGCTGCTCTGTGCCCGCTGCTCTGCCATGAGCACTACCAGGAGGCTGATTGGCGGGCCCTCCGAAACCCGGCCCGCCACGGCTGAGATCCAGGCCATTGCTGACAAGGTGAAGTCCCAGCTGGAGGAGAAGGAAAACAAGAAGTACCCCACTTTCAAGGCCATGGAGTACAAGAGCCAGGTGGTCGCGGGGATTAACTACTTCATCAAGGTTCAAGTTGAAGATGATGACTTCGTGCACATTCGAGTGTTTGAAAGTCTCCCTCATGAAAACAAGGCCCTTGGCCTTGCACAATTATCAGACCAACAAGACCAAGCAGGACGAGCTGGCCTATTTCTAGTTCTGGATATCAAACTGAACCTTCCCCACATGGTTCTCTGTCACGAGTTCGTGTGCTGGGGTCATAAATGAACGACGTCTCTATGCTGTGCCACTTTCGATGGAGGGGCTGCTCTGCACCAATCTGGTGTCTCTGCTTCTGCCTTTAAACACGTGATTTTCCTCCCAATCAATGATCTTAACTAAATTGCTTTCCAAGAGGGCTGAGGTGATCTCTAAATAAATACATTTTTAAGTTTTTGCCCCCCCCCAAATTTATCTTCATTGTTAAAAGTATTATAGATGTGTCCCTTTTCCCCCATTGACCCCCCATCCACCCCCACCTTCCCAGGCCTTCACCACACTACTGTCTGTGTCCATGGGCTATGCATATATGCAAATACGTTCCCTGGCTAATCTCTCCACACCCACCCACCCACACCCGTGCCTTCCCTCTGAGACAGTTTTCAACACGTCTTCACATGGATTTAATCCTGACACATCCCTGTGAAATAGACATTATTATGACTCCCATTTCACAGATGAGGAAATTGAGGCTTAGAGAATTGAAGTGATGAGACCAAGGTTGACATGGAGCTAACAATGTCTGAGCAGGGATCCTAAACCAGGTCTCCAGACTCAGAGCCCCACCTCCCAGTCCTCTTCCCTCACACCGGGAGTAGTTTTGGATTCTTATCCAGACAGGTCTCTCAGTGAGGGACTTCAGGCTTTTCTGTATTCGACTGTGAACAGAACAGGGAATTAATCTGAACTCCCGTGGAAGTGGGGGACTGTATCCTTCTCGAACCTTAAACAGAACCAGCCGTGCTCTCATCCCAGCAGGCGTGGCCGCCATAAGCCACGTCCACACCAAGACACGCCCACAGACAAAAGCTCCAGACCGAGAGTGGGAAACCCGTTCCTTCCAAATCTCCTCCCCTAGCAACCAAGCTCGCGGCTCGGTTCCTAGCTGGTAAACTCAAGCCCTGGCCCTGGAGACCAGTGCGCTACAAACGTAGCCCCGCTACAGGATTCCAAAGCCTTGCACCGGGGTTCCTGGGTCTTTTTCTTGTTTCTACGTGCGTGAGCCATGGCCCCGGACCCCGGTGACCGTGCCCAGCACAGTGTCTCCCCCGCAGGATCCTAGGGCTCCGCTCCCAACACGAAGGCCCACCCCCGTAAGGCCCCGCCAAGCTCTCACACCTCACCGGCTCCACGCCCCGATGCCCTTTCAATCCCACTCTCCAAGTGGTCCCACACTTTACAATCTTCG